CAAGAAGCACCCTCGTGTGTGGCCTTTCAACATATGGCTACCAGCAAATGCTGGTAGTCTCCTCTACCTCGACTCTGACAGGTGCAAACATCCACAGACTTCAGGGGTCAAGAGATACATGAGTGGCAAGGCACCAGATGTTGAACCAGAGGACAGCTTGGTCTGGCCACTTGCTTCCCCTGTGATCTTGGGCCAGTCATTTGCCCTACCTTCATTTCTTCATTTAAAAACCGGAAATGCAATGCCAACCTTAGAGAGTCATTATAAGACATAAGTAAACTAACATAGTTAATAATAACCAATAATATAGTATAACATCACATCATGGGAAACATCTATCAATAATTTATTGAAGCTGGGCCTTAATTAAAATAACTTAGAAGTAAAAATGCCTAAAAATCAAATACCTGACTTTTGGGTTACCAGACGACGGTTTCTGGATTTTCTGCTATGCTATCTTCCCTGAATCTAATATTCATACCCGTCTGAGATACATATATATAGTATTTATAATTCTCTAACATAGTCATTTAGGCTAACATAGATTTTAGCAGATGCTAGAAACTAAGCCTTTTCCTTGACCCTCCTCCTCTTAGTACTTCTCTTATCTCAATTACCTACCTCACCGCCATGACTCTTGAAAACCAGGGATTCAGCTGCTGGGAAAAGCAGCTATACTCCCTCTGTAAAGCCCACCGGCACAGCTGAAAATAGATAGACACTTTCTGCTGTAGAGTCAGCATGGAGCCTTCAAGGGAGCTGTGCAGCTCTCACCCCAACCTAGACAGTAGTAAAATAAACATGATGGCCTTGTGTGGCTCCAAATCCCAATGGTAGAACAGAACTGGGTACACTATAGGGGCTCAAGAGCTGAGCACTGAAAAAGGAAATATGTGAAAAAACATAGTAATAAATCCGAACCATGTATCAGGCACTTATAACACATCAGGCACTGCCTGGGAAACTTCAAAGATAATATCTAATCTTCACAACTACTGCAGAGGCAGGTGTCAGCACTTCTCTTCCGAAGCGTGCAAACCGAGGTTCTACAAAATTAAGCCCTCGGTCCAAAAGGCACAGTGATCAGAGACCCAGCTCTAGGTTCATCTGACTCCCAGCCTTCTGCTTGCCCTGATAACCTACAGAGAACTGAGGGAGTGCCTTGAGGCCACTGGAAAGTGACCAGCCTGATATGTCCAACCTTCTTCCCACTATGTGCTCTCAGAATGAGCTAAGTCTTTGTAAAGCTTAGTACTGAACAATCTTAGGCTTCTCATAGCCTGTGATTTACTGAACCATGTCTAATCAGGCATATTTTAAGGGAAGGAAAGGGGCAGGCCCACTGAAGCAGTACAAGCATGTCTTCCTTTAACAGCATGAAAAGTGCATTTGTGTGGGAGAATGCTTCAAATCCACATTAATGAACAAGTGATGGCTGAGTGGAATTTGCCTGCAAGACATCAGATGTATATAAAATATAGGCCAGGAGTAAAACATTTACATGGTACAAGTCTTATTACTAAAAAGTACCAGAGTTCTGAGGGATTGGTGCATCCTGAAAGGCAATAGTTGACAGAAACCTGACACTGTCACCACTGTGCAACTGGGGACCAAGGGTAGGTAGGAACCACCTAGTACAGGCCCATAAGTTGAAATGTGCACATATCCTCCAAATTCCACATTTCATAACACCATGTTAGTAACTTACAATTGGCCATGCTGTAAGTATTTACACCATAGCAATTGGCAAAGGCTCTTGGGAGCCAGTTATCACCAGTGCACTCCTGATGGATGCCTGGGAAGCAGCCATTCCAGCAGATTTCTGAGGTACACCAAAAGCAACCTGAACTCCGTGGAAAATGCCATGGTATCTTCCTTCAAAAGCCTACACAGAAATGAAATTCTTATCTGGGAAACATCCGTTCCTTTCAGGCCTTTTCTCCCACCTCCTCTATAGCTCCCCACAGTATAGTGGACAGGACAGTCTTTTCCAGCAGCAGATGGATTTCTGTATGTCACAATGCAACACTGCTTACAATATGGGTGTAGATGAAGAATCCCTGTACTGTAACATCATTTTGAGAAAACTACCTCTAATTCATGGTTTTTAATTATGTTACTGATTTAACACATCTTCCTCTATATCAAAATTAGAAACTGTAATGTCTCAAGATGATATTTTTTGGTGGCTAGGGAGAAAAGGAAACTAAAACCTACTGGGGATAGGGAGAATTACTTGAAATTAATCAAAAGAAATGAAAAATTCCAGTGGTACCAAACAATTAAGCAGTTCCAAACACAGTAATCTAATCTAGTTTTATGTTCTCCCTCCATTCTCCTTTCTCCCAGACATGAGAACAGTGTAAGTTTTTGTTTCTGAGATTTCTAAACTCACTATTTGGCTTCAGAATCTGTTCTCCTGCTGCAGCACAATGACTCAATGTTAAGAGCCAAGAGAGGCCAGTTGCTGGTGCGGTGGTGAAGGTGGCTTGATTCCACTTGGCTGATCATGCGACTTGAGTCCTAGACCTAGTAGCTTGAGAAACACACCAGGTACATGTCCATGCATGTCTAAAATCCCAAAAGGAGAAATGGAGAAAGGATTTTGGCATAGCCATCCCCATAAGGGGTTGCTTTCTTACTTTTGTACTCTCTCTCTGTCTCTCTCCAGCAAAACTAAGTTTGTGCCCTCTGGCAAAAACTAAGAGAAGAAATGTAAATGGAGAAAGGATTTTGGCATAGCCATCCCCATAAGGGGTTGCTTTCTTACTTTTGTACTCTCTGTCTCTCTCCAGCAAGTGTATGTGCCCTCTGGCAAAAACTAAGAGAAGAAAAGAAATGTCAAGAGATACTTATTAATAGTTATCTTCTTCAACATGTCCCTCTGAGGGAAAAAGGGGGATATATATGCATACATAGATATATGGATACGTGTATGTGTGTGCATGTGAATAAAAGATGAAAAATACCCTCCAAAGATTAAATATAAAACTCAGTCACTATCAGGAAATGCCAATTGATCACAAGAGTCTTAGAGAGTTAGCTGAAAACTTAGGGCACAAAACAGTTCAACCTCAGCACATTTTTTGCAAAGCAATGATGGAGGTGTGGGAGTGTGGAACAATGATAGGATCATCAATCAGTCCCCAGGCCTCTCCCAACAGCCTCAGCGAATGTCTGTTTCCTGCCCATCCAACCCGAGAGAGTGAAGGATGTGAAAACAAAACTCGAGCCTGCTGCTGTCTACTGTGACTCTAAGCCTATCCATTCTCCCCACTCTGTGATTGTTGGACACGGAGTTCGTCCAAAACAGCATAATGGCTCCAGAAGTCTTAGACATTATCAGAAAAGAAAATGCAAAAGCAGGGAATGAAGACGTATTGCCCACATGTATTCTCTCATTTAATCCTCTCCACTCTCATGGAAGATGGCTGCAGTGAACTCCATTCTACAGGGGAAGGGCGTAAGGAAGGAAACAACCTGCCCAGGAGGGCACAGCTAAAGAAGAATGTGGTTCTAGCCAGGCCCTCCCCACTGCACCATCCTGCTCAAACTCCTAGAAATGGCCATTAAAGGAAATGAAAGCACATGCTCTCCATTACCCCGATGGATGGCTTTAAAATTAGCCTGAGTTTTCTATGCCGCTCATCTATTTCTGTACATCAGCCCTGTCACTGAAAATGCTGAAGGAGATAGTCAATTCATTTGTTATACTCTAAGATGCGTTCCGCGGCTATTACAGCAAGCGGAGCTGCATGCAGAATAGGAAAACTCTGAGCACCCCCAGCTGTGGCAGAGTTTACAATCCCACGTCTCTGTTTACTGGGCAAAGGTTTCTAAAACTGTCTTCCGCTTCAGATAGTCACAAGGCTGAGGAAAGAGTAGCAACTAACATACCGCACACTGCAATCATGTTTTAGTTGAATTATCAAAGTACAGATATAAATACGACAGCATTTCTCTGTATGGTAACAGCACATGAGCTAAGCACTCTGACGTGGGAATATGCGATCATTTATTAAAATAAGCAAAAAAGGGGCCAGCAGGTGGCATGGTGGGTAACGTGCTGGACTCCCACATGGCTGACCACAGTTCGAGTCCTGGTCCTGGTGGCTTGAAAATCACACTGGCATGTGCATGCATGCCCAAAATCCTGAGAGGAGAATGGAGGAGAAAAGACTGCAGGGTGGCTAGCCCCTCTAGAGGGTGATTTCTCACTTTCCTTCCCTCTGTCTTTCTCTGTTTTTCTTCAGCAAGCAAGCACACACACTCTATGGCCAAAAAACGAAAAAGTAAAAAAAAAAATGCCAACTTTTCAATAATATTAGAGGTTATTATCACTGCTCATTAGTTTAAATATTCTAGATTTTTTTTCTAGAGTTCTAGAAAACTCTATGTTTTAGGGAGCTTTACCAAATAAGTCACCTACATAGTCAATAAATATCTTTAGATAATCCAAAAAGTTCACATATATATGCTTACAATAGCATCCATTATAACCACAAAAAAAAAAAAGCTAGAAACTCCACAATGTTAAATAATAGGAGAACTGTTCAGATAAACTGCTCCTATTCCATGTTACATTACTAAACGCCTTTAGAAATTATAATTAGGAAGACAGTATATGAAAGCAAAACAGAAGATCCTGTTAATCAAGAGAAAGTAAAAGAGTAAACCGAGAGCGTTCATCTATGCGAATTTTACATAGGGGCAAAGGGTGGAAGGCGATACCGACGCATGGACACTGTTGGGTGGGCAGTAGAATTTGAGAGTAAATTTTCACCTCTGTCATTTTAGATTTCCCTTCTGGTTATACTACTAACTAGGCAATAAGTAATGCTGATAAATAATAATGAGGAGGGTGATGATGGCGATGGTGACACAAAGAAGAGTTAACAAAACCCAATATTCATGGATTCCTGTCGAGCTGAAAGATGTCAGCAGCTCTTCCACAGGGACTCAGGTCTGGAAGGGCAGAGTCAGGGTGAGGCCTCGCCTACCTTGCTGGATGAGCGCTTCCGCTGCCAGTTCCCCGGTGCCCACGTTGGCATACTCCTCGTTGGGATGCTTCCTGTTGTAGTGTCGCTTCAGAGAGCCAGACATGTTGCAGGAGTAATGGCAGTGGGCACAGCGGAAAGGCTGCAGGGACAAGGAGGAGGGTTAGACAAACAGGCCCCAGGGGTCTTCCTTCTCCACTTTTCCCACCTGGTGAGTAACTGATGCCTCGAATGCCTGAAACGAGCAGGCTCACCCATGATAGATTCAACGGGCTGGGTTCTGCCGCTGTGGTGACCCACCACATGACCAGGACAAGGTGACAGGTGTGTCAGTGTAGGACTCATCTCTGCTGAATGAGTTTTCTCTTTCATTATTCCTTTCTCCTCTTGTTGTCCACCTCAGAATTACATTCTTGTTCAAGAAGATAACGACCAAAGCAATATAGTAATCTCTCTCTCTTTTCCTTGAGTGCCACTGAAAGCTCTTTGTAATTAATTCCCTGATCTACTTGCTTCTACAGTTAAATGAGGTCCTCCAAAGTACTTCCACACCAGCACCTGCGCATGCCAGTGTCACCCAGTAGGGATCCAGCTGGGGGAGAGGAGGCACATTCAGGGTAAGCGCACAGACGGGTGTGCAGCTGGTCTGCCTCCTTGCATGATGTTTCAGGGACTTGTGAAGAGTGGTGAGGGGACGAGGGGAGGCTGCTCAGGCCTCTGGGGGAGCCCGATGAGACCTGGGCTTTGGCTGAGCAAAGGACATACATCCAGATCACGGTCACATCCCTACTCCTAGGTTGGGAAGGTGTCAAAGTGCCCTTCTACACCATGTGTGAGGAAATGCTGACTAAGGGCCATCAAAATCCCCACATGGCATTCAGGACCCTTCAGCAACGCAGCTTTCTAGGTCAGCAGGGACAGGAGAAGGGCAAGGAGCAGCCCATAGCAGCCTGATACCCTGGGTGGTGTGGGGGGATTCAGATAGGGAAGTTCCACAGCAGCTCTGGCACCAACCAATGGTGCAACTGGTGGAACCAGTGAAACCGGACAGGTCGTGCGACTTCTTTGAGAACTGATCTTCTCATGAGAAGGAGGAGGATAATACCTACTTTGTGAGGCTGTCATGAGAATCAACTGATATCATGTAAACTGATATTGCAATGCCACACAAGGTGCTTCTTGTTCTTATCAGCAACTTCACCACAGCCCTTGCTGAGTGTCAGGAGCTGACGTACCACTGTGTCCATTAAGAACCTAAGACTGCCTTGAGCAGCCTTGGCCCAGACTACCCAGCTCCTCCATGTGTTCCCCACTATCACCCAGAGCTAGATCAGCAACAGCAACACAGGAGCTGAAGTACAGCACGTGCAGGGGCAGCCCTGTCACCTCCAAAGCTTTGACTGGCTCCTCTTTCAATGGTTTCTTCCCTGCAAGTCTACAAATGTGCTGAAGTCTTCCCACTGGGAGGCAGAGACTGAGGAAAGAATGGAAGGAGGGAAGAGAAGGAAAAGGAAAGTCTCCTCCTTGCCCCTTGCCCCTTGCCTAAGTCATCTCAATTTTTTCTCCTGGCGCCCCATCCACCCAGGCCTTGTGTCCACCGTCTTCCCATGTTCACCTCCCTTTCCTGGGCTCAGAGCTCTCCCAGGAGAATGACTTCTGAAGGCTATTTTCTGAGGCCTCATGCAGGATACCCTCCGCCCCCAACATCTCCTTTATCTAGCTGCCATCCCCAGTGACACTATGACCCTGCTATCAAAAGGCTCCCCTGTGGTGCTCTGGGCGTTCTTGGTCTATTTACTAACCTTGCCTGCCAGGCCTGACACTGAAGGCTGGCTCTCCGCAAGGCTGTGCATGGCTCTACCTTGTGAATTTCTGGATCTACACATCCAGTTGTAACCTCTGTCCTGAACCACAGACAGATCCAATTCCTTCCAGGTATTGCTAAGGGAGGTTCCGTAAGCACCGCTAATAACACACACAATTTCAGGCCCACTATTATCCTGCAGAACCAGCTAGTCACTCAAAGACAGGTCCCAGCTTTCCTCCCCTCTCACTGTTCAACCTAGTGCTGAGTGTCGTCTCGTTCTTCTTCCTGGGAAGCCTCTCCGGAATCTACCCTGCTCTCTCTCTCTCTTTTTTTTTTTTTTTTTTTTTGGAGAGGTTTTCTCTATAGGGCGCATGCGCTCACCAGACAGACAGAGAGAGACATAGAGACAGAAAGCGAGAAATCACCCCCCAGGGGGGATGGTCACGCCGCAATCCCTTCTCCTCCATTCTCCTCTCGGGATCTTGGGCATGCACGCACACGCGCCCGGCGTGAGTTTTAAGCCACCGGGTCTGAGACACGAACCGCAATCAACTACGTGGGAGTCCAGCGACATAGCCATTACGCTAACTGCTGGTTCCCTACCCTGCTCTCTTGATCTAACACTCCAGTACAGAGAAGGGTGCTGTCCTGGCCTGTGAAAGGGCCCTTACCCTCAGGACGGTTATTCAGGTAGAAAAGGATGCAGGGCAGTGAATCAGGGTAGCCAATCTGCTCTACCACAGTCCCCAGAATGTCACCTACTTTGCAGCCACACTGTGGCTACAGGGTGCTCTGTGCTCCATCACCCGTGCTAGCTTCCTGC